CCGCTCTTCTTTCTTCCATCTGTGTTCGTGGGGCCTGTTGTTACCCTTTAGAAACAGTTTTCTTTTCCTTGTGATTCTCCAACTTATCCATCTGAATCAATGATTCTCAAGAAGTCATGTGATACCTATTAGTACATACATTCATGTTGAGGTGTCTTCCACTTTTCTGTTACAGCACAGATTACAGTGCGGACTGTTTGAATTTTATGAAATGAATTTTTGTTGGTCACAGGTACATCCCGACCGGTGTTCTGTTTGATCTTCTTTGTGCAGAACCAGAACGACCTTGGAATCTTACGGTAATTCATCTTTGAAATTCATTATTTTCCAAGTCGAAGTGAGCTTATCAGATGCGGTTAGGCGCATTGTGAACATAGAATCAGGACCTTGAGCTGTGCCTTTGTTGTGCTGGAAATTTGTGATGTTGGACTGTTTCTGTCATTTAAATTTAGGAGGAAAACACTAGAGTTCACTCTGTGAACCTTTTATAACAGTGATCTCACTCTATATTTCTGTTTTATTATATTAAAGCTGAATATGATTTTATTGCTGTTCACTGTAGCCCTCTAAATTGGAGATGAATATGTATGCTAATATATGGTATTAATGGAGGTTCACCATCTTTCTTCTTGCCTTAGAATTCTAGACTAGCAGGATGCTGATTCTTATGTCATTTTATCAGCAATTGATGAGCTTTCAGAAATTTTTCTTTGCAGATACACTTTAGAGGATACCCAAACAGCATATTAATACCCTGTGAAGGAGAAGAGTCTGTAAAGTGGAGCTTTATTAATTCATTGAAAGAGGTTAGTTTCTTGTCATCCATATGCATGTTTACTGTTCAAATCAATTGGAGATGAATGCCGCGTATTTTCTTGTTTCATCATGTCTCGCTGCTTTAGAGCTTAATAATGACTGATTTGTTACCTTCGCTTGAAACTGCATCAAAATTTTTCCTGAGAAAAAATAAAAAATGGGTTGGGGAGCAGAATTGCTAGATATTTATATGATTTTCTATAATGCGTTTAAGAAATTGGATTTTGAAGAACTATGCATTTGGTCGCAAATGTATTAAATATTTTGTGCCTTTCATTTGATGATGTCATGTAAACGTGGCAAAGTACATCGAATGGTATGTTTAAGGAGCAGCCAAGTCGCTGTGATGAATTCCAGCAGAGTTGAAATGCATTAGTATAAATTAGCTGTTAACAATAATGAATGGTATGTTTCCTCATTTATAATTTTGTTCAATACATCTTTTCTCGTTCGGGTCAATCATAGCATTTACCATAGGTTATTTTCGGCATTGCTTAGTTCCTACCTATGTGTCAGACAAATTGTAATTGATTAAAAATCCGTGCCATATCCCGGTTGAGTCATTCCTTTTTCTAAACTTATCCTTGCAGGCGGCATATATCATCAACGGGAATTGCAAGAATGTTATGAATATGTCCCAGTCTGATCAGGTGGAGCTGTGGAACTCAGTCATGGAGGGTACGTTTAGCTCATGATTAGGGATGTAAGACCCTCATGGTTACATAAAACCATTGAATGCGACTCCAATATTTTTCCACTTCAAGCATTTGCATTGAAAATTTCTTGATGCAACCCCTTGTTCATGCTCGAAACTGATCCCGTGACAGGTAATCTTGCTGGCTACACTAGAATATCATCGAAGCTTAAACTGGGAGCTATAGAAGACGAATTCTCAAGAAAAATGAGTTTGTTGTCTCCAAAATCTGGACAAGGCGTACCTGAAACAGATGTAGCTGGGCAAGTCAAGACAGGTTTGCCAATTTTATTTGTTGTTGAAAACTTAGACTTAGGCAGTGGAAGGATTAGACGTGGCTAGAATTATTATTTAGTGCTCTGGTTCAATATCTCTTGTTTTACCTACCATTACGTGCATCCTTAATCTATAACTATTGAGTCTTTCCCAGTATTTACTTGTGCTTGGCAATTGAAAATGTCTCCATCTTCTGATTTGGCCACCTTTTTTCTGACCGTCCGTTTATCTATCAGCAAGGATTCCTGTCCGGTTGTATGTTCGGTGCATAAACCAAGATTTCGATGATCTGGAAGATGTTCCTGAGATTGATAGCTGGGATGAAATCTCTTACCTAAATAGGCCCGTCGAGTTTCAACATGAAGAAGGTACGTCTTTTTCTAGGAGCAAGATACTCGATAGTAGGAAACAGTGAAGAGAAATTCATAGCTCGGAGTTATTCCTTTTGATCTGTTTGCTTTCACCAATCCTATGTTTGGATTAGTTTCATTCGAAAAAACGGTAAAAAAAAAAAAGAAGAAGAATCAAATTTAGCAGTATTGAATCTCGTCTTAACATTACCAGGGAAATGCCTAACACTGGAGGACGCTATCAAAACTCTCCTCCCAGAATTCCATGGGGAAAGAGATGAAACAGATGAAGAAAAGAGCCATGAAGCAGCTGAGGAAGAAAACAGAGATAAATCGGTAGAACCCCCCGAATTCGATAAGGGGACGGCAGAAATAAAGATGGTGAGGATCCAAGGAATCGAACCGAAACTGGAGATACCCTTCTCATGGGTGGTTAATAACTTGATGAATCCTGAATACTATCTCCATATTTGTGTTCTTGTCAAAGCTCCTCCTCCTCCCCCTCTGGTAAGTAATTAGCACTTAAATCACAGATTGGATTCTTCTTTCTTTTATTTTTCATAATTCGAAAGTTGCATCTATAGCAAGAAGGATCATGGGCACCAATTCTTTGCATACAATGTACAGATCAACTATTGTATATTTTCTATTAATGATAGATACCGATGTTGGGAAATTGATTACTTCTTCCTTTCATCGAACATCATACATTATAATGATTTCTGGTGGTAGATTTGAATTGGTGCTGAAATATAAAGTATTTTTTGGTCCGGTGAATCCTTAGATGAGATTCTAGAGTCACATTCTAACAATTCAAAAGACTAAGTTGTTGAACCATAGACGTGTGTGAAGGCTACATAGAAGGAAGAAAAGAACCCAAGGATGGATTCATTGGAGGGAAAAGTGTCAACAAGGACATGTATTTATATATTTATATACACACACACACAAAGAAATACATGTATGGTGTACACTTTATATATATATATATATAGAGAGAGAGAGAGAGAGAGAATCGGGAATTTGGCAAAATGAGAGAAAAAGTTATGATGATGATGATGAGAAAGAAAGGCTGAGAAGTGATGCTGGGGTTGGCCCATCCAATGCTACCAAGGATTTATTCACATGATCACAAGTTGGACCCCACATGATCTACCATGTGGACCCCTCAACTTGTTCATCTCTTTTTCATGCTTTTTGATCCGCTCTCCGTTGCATCTCATTGTCTTTTTCCATATTTTTTGGGAAACCCAATCAAAACTTAGGAATATGGTGATGAGTATTATCCCATCTTTGATAAAAAAAAAAAATCATATCATAATATTATAGATTTATGTCTATTTCCTTAAGCATTGGATAATAATACCCTGCAAATTATGCACACCCAAAATGCATGCATGTGATCATTAGATGGTAATATCAGGCTATAACATGATCTCACACAAAGAAAACCAACAAAAGATGATTAACGAAAGGGGTAATTAATGTTGTTGTTTTCTTTAATGAAAATAATACAGCAATCACGATGAGACACTTAGAGGGGATCTCATGTGGGTACAAAAGAGACAGTTAATTCAGTTAGAAGCGCCGCCAAAGAGAGGTTAGGTTGCAACAGTTTTTGGTTAACCCAAGATTCCTTCCACTTCCATGCAACCCATGCAACCAACGAGGATTCGCCACGTGGAAAATTATTCCAAACCCAGCCACACCCTTGAGAAGGATGGCATAATTGTTGAGAAGCAGAACACACCAACTTGGGGAGGAAAGAAGAAACACGGTTACATGCATATGTTGGCTTTGATTATTGCCGGTTTAGGACAGGAATTCTCTTTGATCATGTTACATATAATAATATTATTGTTATTTGATATTATTATTTGCATGTATATTAATACAGGGGTCACATTTCTTATTTTAAATAGTTGATAGAAGTTGTGTATATATATTTTGTAATTTATACATACATATATATATATATATATATGTATGAAAAGATGGACATAGAATTCACCGAAAATTGGGGGATTAAAGTGTGATATAAGCCTTACAACTTTATAATAACCTTAATTACCCCTATATGAATTATGAGATATGCAAAAAAAATAATAATTAAATAGCTCTGAGGCTTGTGCAGAGTTTTATTCGATCTTGCGTATGTATGAAACGATTGATTATACAAATTGGGCTCTTTTTAATTCTAAATTTTGTTATGTATTATTAAAATGTTTGGGTCGGCAGCCTCCCCCTATTCACTTTTTGGCCTCTCTTTTTCCATAGCTTTTTGTCTCTCTCTCTTTTTATATATAACCTTACCCTTAAAGCCCTTCCCACACAACATTTGCATTCTCTCTCCCTCTCTCTCGTTTGTTCTTTTGGAGTCTCATAGTCTCTCTTCTTCCCCGTCCTCCATATATTATCACTTGATCGATCCCTCCGGTTTCCTTGTTCGTTGGGAGACGATCGGTCTTGTTAATCTCCTAATAACAAGACCGGTCGTTTTGGTTACACATATATATATAGCTATATATACAAAGCATATATATGGCTCCGGTTTCGTTGCCACCCGGTTTCCGATTCCATCCGACGGACGAGGAACTGATCACTTACTATCTCAAGAGAAAGATCAACGGTCGAGAGATCGAATTGGAGATCATCCCCGAAGTCGATCTCTACAAGTGCGAGCCTTGGGACTTACCAGGTCAATTTGTTATCAATCCTCTCTAGTTTCTATAATGAATTATGGTTTTGATTTCTCGATTCATATTTTAATTAAATATTTCGTGTTAAGAAGTTTCTCCCTCAATAAAGATTGAGTGAAGAAAAGAATAAGAATATCATAAAGACAAAGAAACCCTAACATGCTTTAATTTTGACGGAGATATTATTTGATCTCACGCCTATTATATGCGCGCATCTATATACAAATATTATATATATTCACGAGTCCGTTGTCATAGTATATCTTATAACATTACACATATGCATATATGCATTAGCAATTAAATAACTAAATCGACCCCCCTATATCCCCATGAAAAGTATTTGAGTCATAGGACTCATAAGATTGGCATGGAACCCTCAAGGGGTCACAAATCTTTATATATATATGAGCTAACCTTTTTGTGTGTGTGTGTGTATATATGTATATATATCATTACAATAATAATTAAGGGATCTTAACTAGAAGAAGAACCTTAACTCATGTCTGAAATTGAATTGAAAATTTTCAGGGAAGACATTGCTTCCAAGCAAAGATCAAGAATGGTACTTCTTCAGTCCGAGGGACAGGAAATACCCAAACGGTTCAAGAACGAACCGAGCAACGAAAGGCGGTTATTGGAAGGCGACGGGTAAAGACAGGAGAGTGAGTTGGAGAGACCGAGCCATCGGTACGAAAAAGACGTTGGTTTACTACCGAGGACGAGCACCTCACGGTATCAGAACCGGTTGGGTCATGCACGAATATCGCCTCGACGAGACCGAATGTGAACATCCGGCTTCAGGATTGCAGGTACATTAATTTCAACTATACCCCCAAAAAAACATCATAAGCATTCATGTCTAATGTTTTTTTTTGTGTGTTTGTGAATGTTTTCAGGATGCGTATGCACTTTGTCGTGTGTTCAAGAAAGCGTTGATCGAGGGGAAGCCGAGGGAACTGAATTCTTACGTGCATAAAAGCCCGATGAGCGGAATTTGTTCGTCGAATCTCGAGGTTTGTTCCGATCTCGAGAGTTCCACGCATCAAATTCAGCCGTACCGCACGGGCCAAGGCCAATTCTGCGACGAACGTTTCAATCCAGTCGACGTCGGTGGAGTCCGAGATGAAGATTGGGCACGATACTTATCAAATGACATGTTTGCTTTTCCAAACTATGGATCTTCTCATGCACCATCATATCCTCCTCCGTCCAAGGTACATAAAATTATATCTTATAACCTTAGCCTAAACTCATATATATATATATATATATATATATATATGATAAACCATATATATGATCGTTAAATTTATGGTGTTTATACATATCAAGAAGGTTAACACGGAGTTAGAATGTGCAATGTTGCGACATCAAACGTCTCTGCCGCCGTTACGGATAGAAAACTCTCCTCAAGAAAACGATTATTTCAAAACGAATCAAAACAATAACGGCTTCGAGGACTTTACTTTCGCCGCAAGTAATTCCAATCTCTATAACAACGATCCGTTCATACCCGTTGGAAATCTAGATCACAGTTCGGGGTGGATGAGAATGCCAAACAATGATTTTAACCAGGTATATATAGTTATATATAGCTTAATCTTATATACGAACTATACGTATTCATTTATATATGGATAACATGTATAAATGTTTTCAAATTTTGAAACAGGGTTTCATCGTAGAACATAACATTGTGCCAGATTTCGATGATAATAAGGAACGAGATCTTGAATTCGGTGGTGAGCAAATTGATCTAACTTAAAACTTCCATATACGTTATCCGTACCAATGTATGTATGTATGTATATAATTAATGATATTGATAGTGGAATCAATGATATAGTTCGGATTAACGTTGCAGGTGAATCTCGTAATAACACCGTAAACAACATTGAAATCGACGATTATCTTTCGTTCGAAATCTACAACGAGGACCGGGTAGGGGAGGCGGACGAGGAGGGCATCAATACAGACGAGACCCTAAACTCTTCGGGCTTCCGAGTGGTCGAGGAAATCAGGGTTAGCCATGGAATGTTCATCGCCACACGACAAGAGAGCGAGACTGTGTTTCACCAAATCGTTCCTTCGGAGACGTTGAAAGTTCAGATCAATCCTTTCGACGATTATTTGGAAGAGATGACTTCGTTCGGAGATGGCTCGGAATCTTTCCTCGACAAGATTAAGACAAAGCTGACCGAGATTAACTTGATCGCCCATCAATATTACAAGACCATTAGGGTATTTTTCTGACATCCCTTCTGCAAAAGAAGGGGGAATATATATAAATGATATATATATATATATATATATATATACTATGATTCATTTTCATTGTTTTCATTATAATTTTTAATACGATTATTGATTCCTATATACATTCATATGTATAGAGAGAAATGACTCTCCTTTCGTTATTTTTTATTTTAAATTGTTTTATGATAAAGTAAATTTACAAAAGTTGCAACAAAAATTACAATTTAAATCTTTCGTACGTACCATTAGAAGCAAATAGCAATGTTATTGTAGTGGTCGGTTATTCAGATTTAATAATAAGATTTATATGTACGTATATAATACTCTTCGGAATGACTTATGTTAGTCCATTGGGGGAAAACAAATCATATAACTTGAAATTATTTTTATAATTGTAACCGGGTCGGATCTTCTCGAAACCGGGTCGCGTGGAAAACACGCGCAGCTAGGGTTTGCGTACATCGGGTCCTTCTAGTATAAAAGGACTCTTAAAGTGTGCCTCACTAATCTAACTCCCTAGGGTTTTTATTTTCTGCTGTTTGTTCGTTCGTTCGTTCGTTCTTCAGTCTCCTCCCTAGATTTCTTCTGCAATCTTAAAGATTTGGTTTTTATGTTGCGTCATTATACTGATTACCGGCGTTCTGTATCTGTGTTCGTCGTGTATGAGCTGACGCCAAATTGAATTCCTACGTCTGCGTGTTTTCGATTTGATTATGGTTCCTGTCAATTCGGGCTTGCGGATTAGGGCAGATCTGAATCGCGTTCATCTGATTTCTTCATTTTGATTACCTAAATATCAGAGAGTGCTCCCTCTGGATACGGCTGTGAAATTAGATGTGTTTGTTGTCTTCTCTGTCCGAGATCGGGTTTCTGCTTTTTTGTTGGAATCGATTTCTTGACGTGTTTTGGATACTTGATATGGAGATGGAGGTGATGATTATTTCCCCAGATGATCGACGCTGATTATACTGAGCGATTACGTTTTCCTCTTTTTTCCGAGGAATCCAAGCCAGATTTTCTGATCCATCTTCACGATTACTTTGAAACCCTAGTTTCGATTTTGATTATCCTTAATCCCAAATTCGTTTTTGAATCGAGATCGAGTTTGGATTCGTGTTTTTTGTCCTCTGCGTCTGAAAAGTCTGATGATGGTCATTCACGATCGAAAGATTAAGACGAGATCTGTGCACTGAATGGAGAATCAACGGATTAATATTCATTCAACAGAACATAAAATTACATGAAGATGAAAATAGAATGGAATTAAAAAAAAAACTTTAAAAAGAATTTTTTTTAACAAAAATCGAAATAGAATCGAATGTAATATTATATAATAATAACTAACTAGTATATATTTTTACGAAATGAGAATTGAACAATTTTTCGAATAAACGTTCACCCGTAGTAGATACTGTAAGAAGCCCCTTTGAAATTGTTAGTATCTAAATGATACAGTTTACAAGTAATTTGCCCGTAATCAAAGCTGTAATATCCTATTAATCGAGGTTTAATTCTAATCTCTTGCCGCAGCTATAGCCTACAACCAATTGATCTTTCCTTAAAAGTTTTAGCCGAAACCGGTCCGTGATAGTTTTCTTTCAACTAGAAATTACCGGTTAAACTGGAACCGGTTCGCTCACGGTTCTTTTTCTAATCTGAATTCCATAAAACGGCGTCGTTGCTTCCTTCGGCTCCGCCTAGTTTTCCAGTTGATTTCGGCAATGTCTGTCACGGCAAGCTCCCGCGATCCAGAACCCCGGCAGCACACTACCGGGGAATTTTCGAACGGTTTTTGTCGAATGGGGATGTGTCTGAAGAACGAGAAATGGATCGCCATGGCGTTTCTCTTGATCCACTTGGTCGCTATTCTGTTTTTCACTCGTGGGTTTCTGCTTACTCGGACAGAGCTTCCTTTTCACAGTACTTGCTCCGACGTCTCCCTCTCTCCTTGCCTCGCTTCTCCACCTCCCGATCATGTTTCGAACTCGATATCGGGTTCGAATTTGTCTCAAAGCGGTGGCAATCTTCATCAACAGCCGAAATGTTGGACCAAGCCGGCTGTTGATCGTGTTATCATCATTGTCTTGGACGCTCTCAGGTTTCGAGATTCTTGACCTGATTGGGGCTTTTCAATTTCCAGATTCAATTTTATGGCTTCTTCATGATCCGTATTTCCCTTTCTCAGAATCGATTTTGTGGCTCCGAGTTCTTTCTTCCCAGGTGAGTGAATTTCTAGCGGTGAATATACTCTGTGTTCAACTAGATAATGATCCTGCAAGTTTTGTTCTTTGGTAGAACCAAAACCATGGATGGACAAGTTACCCATTCTGCAGAAACTTGCATATGCTAACGGGTCATCTGCTAAGATCTTCAAGGCTTATGCTGATCCTCCAACTACCAGTTTGCAGCGTCTCAAGGTCTCTCTGTTCACACGTGTTTCAGTTGGGTGTTTTGTTTGTCTCTGTAGTGTGTGACTTTCTCCAGCTGTGAAATCAGGGCTTGACGACTGGTGGGTTGCCTACTTTTATCGATGTGGGGAATAGTTTTGGTGCTCCTGCCATTGTTGAGGATAACTTCATCAATCAGGTTTGGCTCTCTATTCCAGGAAAGTTTCATTCTTTATGGTCAATGAAAACAATTTTTTTGTTTGTAAATGTGTACGTGATTCATCTGCTAATTACTCAGTATGTTTTCTCGTATGCATAGCTAGTGCAAAACGGGAAAAGAGTAGTGATGATGGGTGATGATACATGGACGCAGTTGTTCCCCAACCAATTTGCAAAGGCATACCCTTTCCCTTCCTTCAATGTTAAAGACCTCAACACGGTATGTTATTAACCTCTTGTACTCTTTTCATTTGGTTCTTCTTGATCAGAGTAGAGCCTCTGTACTTAACAAAGAATCTATTATGAAACTGGTCTTGCTTTTGCAGGTGGACAATGGATGCATTGAGCACCTATTCCCATCCCTTTATGAAGATGATTGGGATGTTCTTATTGCCCATTTTCTCGGAGTGGTATGCCGACAGATACCTTTTTTTTATTTCCATTTATTTTCTCCCCTTCCATCTCCCTGTCCTATTTTTTTTGCTTACAATACACATAATGGTGGTATTGTATGAACATTGATGCATTGGGCTTGAGCCGTTTTATTTTCTTGATTGTTTTCTTTGACTTGGTGAATGTTTTCTGTAACCTCTATTGTTTTCTGTTTTGATCAGGATCATGCAGGACACATATTTGGTGTGGATTCCATCCCAATGATAGAAAAATTGGAGCAGTATAATGCAGTTTTAGAGGTAAGCTTCTGTAAGCATTGTAAGCCATCGTTAGCAGGTTTTCCTTGTCAATCTATTCAATGTCTGCCACGAGGAGAGGATTGCAAAGGAGATTAGCCACCTATTATTAACTTTCACTTTTTCCCCTCATGGACGCTGTTATATGTATATATCCTCATCTCATATTTTGATTGAATTCGTTCCCCCCAGAAAGTAGTTCAGATACTCGAGAGCCAGGCAGGGCCAGGTGGGTTGCATGAGAATACTCTTCTGATTGTCATGGGTGATCATGGGCAGACGTTAAATGGGGATCATGGGGGAGGGAGTCCCGAGGAGGTAAGTATCGGTTACTTCCTGTGGTCACTTGCCTTGCCTTCGAGATTTCTATCCACCTAACTTATAACTCACCATGTCAGGTAGAAACATCCATGTTTTCCATGAGCCTAAGGAAGCATACATCTCCAGTTCCACAAGAGTTTGATACATCATCTTGTAAACAAGATTCGGTATGGCCCCTCTTTCCACCATACTTGCACCTGCTACCATCTTTCAAAGTGTTTTAAGAACCTTGCTTCTAGTCTGTTCCTCATGGCTATGGGAAATGAATTGGAGATGTTCTCTTACTGTCCTTCTACTTTGTCTGTCTCAACGTCAGGACGGGAAGCAGATTTGTGTCAGCTCCATTGAGCAGGTCAGTATCAATAGCAAATTCCTTCCTCTTGATCTATGTACGTCCAGTCAAAAGACCTTTTTTTTTTGCTTCCAGCTTGATTTTGCGGCCACATTATCAGCTTTGCTTGGGATATCATTTCCTTTCGGAAGGTGCCTTGTAAGCATCATTGTCAGCATGATTTTTTTGTTCAATTTATTGAAATTTTCTGTAATCTCTCGTTCAAATTTGTAACATTTCATGGTTTTGCCCATGACATTGCAGCATTGGGCGTGTGAATCCTGAGCTGTATGCTCTAGGCTCTAGCAGCTGGAATATTGAAAATGATGGGAACCAGTCAGTTAGTAAAAAATGGATTGCGGATTATGTGGATATCCTCTGCACAAATGCTTGGCAGGTAATTAGTCCTTCTATCCTTGCAATATAAACTTTATTTGACGGTGTGCATGCTGTTATTTTCTTCTCCTTTATAAATTCATTTAGACAAACTTATTCAACCTGGGTTCCCTTCATGTCTGATGATGCTTGAATCCAACAAGATAGGATGAAGGGTATATTAGAGTATGAGTCTGAGTCCAAATGGAAGGTGTACTGCTTCTTTTATCTTTATCAAGTTGTAAACTTTATCTTTCAACACAAGCTAAATCTTTCTAAAACATCTTGCCCTACAAAACAAGTTCTATGTTCCAATCTGTCATCGATTCTATATTAATTTAGTGCTATTCAGTTTGAACAACTTATTTTCATTGTACTGTTTCACTGACTACCATTTTGTTAATCCCATTTACTACATGCAGGTGAAAAGATATATAGATGTTTATTCAAATTCATCAGTTGTGGGTTTCTCTTATGATGATTTGTCGAGGATATCAGATTTATATTCTCGAGCAGAAGAGAATTGGTCTAATTCCATCAAAGATATGTTGGTGGATGGAGATAAAAATGGCAGTTCAAATATATCTGCCCTGACAAAGCAGATAATGGCATATTTGGATTTCTTCTCAAGTGTAGTTGAACTGGCCCGATCCAAATGGACAGAGTTCAATCTGAAGTTGATGATTACTGGCTTCGGGATAATGGTTATATCACTTTTTCTTCAACTTCTTATTATTTTGCCCGGCCCCAAATCACATGGAATGGATTCTGGGGCATTTGTTGGCTTGGCTTTCACTCTCTCTATTGTTTTGATACGTGCTTGCAGCTTTCTTTCGAACAGCTATATTTGTAAGTTTTGGTAAATTTTGAGGTTTACTACTACTTTTATTCTTATCTCCATTGTCTAAACTTGCTCTATCCTTGCTTTTTGGTTCTTAATGATTTACGTTTTTTTCAACAGTGGAAGAAGGTAAAGTTGCAAATTTTCTCCTGGCGACAACTGGCCTTATCAAGCTGCAGTACTCAATTATGAGAAAAACAATGGTGAAAGAAGTAAGTATTTATCTTGTACATTTTCCCCACATCTGGTAATATATTAGCCTGAAAGATGTTTCTTGAATAATATTTTTTTTGTGTATTTTTCTTCAGGCGGTAACATTTCTAGCAACGGTTTTCGCTCTCAGAATTTCTATAGATATTGGGTTAACAAAGCAAGCTGCCACCTCTCAGTTCATGAGTAGTTCGCCTTCATGGATGCTTGGCATGGTTCCAGGCCATCCAATACTGACACTAGTCTCTGATATTGCACCAGTTCTATCACTGATTATTCTGATTTATATGCTCTACAAGGCGATTAACCGGACCTCCTGTGTGGGAATTTGGAAGTATGTTACTGTTGGAAGTATAATAAACTATTTTCTCGTAGCAATGCAATGGGCTTCCGAAAGCAAGATGCTTGGTCTTGATGTGTTGCTTCAGCGGCTTGGAAGAAACCGCATCCCGCAAGCAGTATATGGCATCGGATTAGTGCAGCTCTTCCTTTTAGCATTTGCTCGTATATTTTGTGCAATAAAAGTTACATATGGCAGCAAGAGCTGGACCGTCAAAACGGTTGCAATGGTATCTGCATGCAGCTCAACAGTAATTCTCCTGTCCGGGCGGCAAGGATCAATGCTTGCTTTGGCATACATTCTTGGTGGTATATATCTTCTTCTCGTTAGTTTTCTCTGTTCATTGGTTTTTTCAGCTGTCAGTTTGGTATTATTTCTCGAAATAAAAAAGCAAATATCAAGCTAAAGGAATTCAGCTCGTAACGTTAACACATTCAGTCAAATCCATGCAGGCTATTGTATAATGAGGTTGGAGGGTATAGAGAGAAACCAATCAGGAAAAGGGAACAACAGGTTTCAGAATTTGAACCCTCTTGCTGTGGTGCAATGGAGCCTTCTTTCCGTCTGTATGTTTTTCGCCAGTGGTCACTGGTGTGCTTTCGATGGCTTACGATATGGAGCTGCATTCGTGGGGTAAGTCCAATATAAGCATGCGTATGTATGTATGCATTTAACGTAATTTCTTGATGGATTTGGTTACATTCTTTCTTCCAGGTTTGACGAGTTTGTTCTTATCCGACAAGCCATCCTTCTGACCATCGAAACATTCGGGTTCTCAATCATCCTCTCCGTGTTTGGACTCCCTCTACTCATGCCACTCCATTCCCCAACCAAGCGACTTTTTCGAGTTAAGTATCGCCCTCTATTTGACCCCACGAATAACCATTGATAAATTTTAGTTCAAGAACCGATCAGCAGGTGTGTCCTAAATGAGAATCCTCCTCGTTGTCTGTCAGATGTGTATGCTCTATGGACTTGTCAATGCAACTACTGTCACAGCCACCATTCTCTGTGTCACCATCCAGAGAAGACATCTAATGGTAATAATACAGCAATATACACACTTGTGGCCGATATGGCTCTTAGTTTGTTTCTGTATGCAGAATGTTCAACATGTCATCGAACTAACTGTTGCTTGCTCGTTTGTTTGTTTGTTTTTTTCCCGACAGGTATGGGGTTTGTTTGCTCCCAAGTTTGTCTTTGACGTTGTTGGTCTCATCCTCACTGATGTCTTGATCTGCGTAGCCTCTGCTTTCTATTTCGATTAACGTTATAGCCAAGAGGAAGAATGAGTCTTCGGTAGGATATTCGATTAGCAACTGTGGGATTATGACAGTTTTGAGGGACAAAAAACAATTCATTAATGATAGAATCATAGAACCAGAGAACGGATTTTCAGGTTATATTACAAGGCCTCTGGGCAATATGTTGTTTTCCTTCCAAAGTTGCATTATGAATGAAAGCTAGATTGGGTTCAGTAGAGTAGTTATCTTCTCATTACAATAAGAAATGGAATATGCAAGAGTTCTCTTGTACCTCAGCCTCCACTGCACTGACAATTTCCATTTATTCATCATCCTCTTCGTTTTTCCCGAGAATTTCACCGCCTTCCCGGAAAATTCTTCGACATCCCCATTTTCCTCGACCCATGAGTCATTCGCTTCCAAGAACGCACGTATTTCACTCCCGAAATCCTTCACTCCGCTCTGCTCCAGACAAGATTCAGGATCTTGAAGCATGTCGATGTTGTGAAGAAGCATACTATCTTCTTGAATAGATGTTGGAAGACCCTTCAGAACAGCTTCGCATTTCTGTGATACCCACCTCATGACCAGAATTTCATTCTCCACGGATATCCGGGATCCAGAGTAAACAAGACGGGCAATAGACTTGCGCTGGAGAGGAGGGATCAGCCATAGTCTCAATGCTGATATGAGAGCAAAAGACGGTTTTCCATCTTGATGAATGTATAAAGAATCCCTTGGCCATGAAGAAGCCAGAGAATACATGCCAGTGTCAAGAGGAATGAAGACTTTGTCGTTCGGGTTGCCTTCTAGCATAAAGCCATAGTGCTCAAGAAGCTCCAGATTTGTGTAAGTTCCATAACTTAGAAGAACCTACACCAAATAATCAGATACACCATTTAATATCTTTGATATTTGCTTCACAAACAGCTCAATGATGATAGAAAATTAACTTTGTACCTGTTCTCCTTGTTTATAGTTCCTTCTTGCATAAAAACAATAGGCATCAACATCATCCTCAAATCCACCATCGGTTAGCCTTTCATATTGATTTTCAAAAACCCATGCCTCTGGAATATTGCTACCGTCGTTAATAGAAGTTGAACATGACTGCAGTGCAGATGAATGCATCCCATTCTCAGTGAATTCCGCAGTATTTGACTCCTCTCCAGGGGCATCATAATTAAATAAATCCCCCACAGGGCATAAACAGCCAGCAACATCCCATGGTATATGCAGCGTCCGCGACGATATCTTAAAAACAGAAAAAGTTTGAAACTTAAAATCGTAGGAATAATATTGAGAAAAGCACAGATCACAAAAGGAATCGAATGAAACTCTTTGAAAGGAACGGTTTAGAAATGAACAGAACAATAGGAAAATCACACTCTGGGAACAACTTTATATCGAGGGCTACCAGTACCAGACTCCCAGAACAAAACATCCAGCTGAGACTAAAGATTAAGACAGTGAAAAGCCAAAACCAACTAAGTGTGACAGTTTTTCCAAGGATGCCTAAGTGTGCATGCATTCAAACAATTCTCGGAGCCCTAATAAGTAATAATCGAAGTTTTCTTACCGTTGCAGAAGCCCAAAGCCATGCCTGGAAACTTTGAAGCTTGGGCTTGAGATCTAACTCTCTCATCAGGACACAAGCTTCTTTCCACTCACTCTGAGACTTGGATATAGCCTTCTCTGTAACCCATATAGCATCTTCAATCTAGGGACATAACATTCTCGTTAGAAAAGTCACTTCAGTGTCAAATTACAATAATATGGGCATAATTTCCCCAATCTGGAAACAGGAAACCCAACCTATTAAAACCAAATAAAACCACGAGTAGAGACAGAACTTGTAGAGCTTGCTTCTCGAATTCTCCGAAGGTGGCCAGGATATCGTAGTCACGGGGTAAGTGTACCAAGTATGGGTACCAAAAGGAGTTCTTTCCCTTACCCATTTCGTACAATAGGCATACAGCCAATATCTGCAATTCAACAAAAAAAAAAAGAAATTATACATCTAAAAAATTTCAGCAAAAGACGCTATTGTTTTGGGTCTCCAAAATATGAAATCCCAAAAGCTAAAGTTCATCCATGAACTTCCACTCGATTTGTTTTCCACAGGTAGAAAATTCGAGAGCAGAAATGGCACCCGGTCAAAACTACATCAGAACAAAACTCTTGAATATTTTGGCGTCAAAAGCTCAAACAAACGTGGTCACCATTTAACCATGGACTTCTATCTGGGTCCACACACGGGTGCCTATTGCCTAAGATATACTAAGTCCAATCTGGAGTAATGACATGACACCATAGAATCATTAATAAGTGATTCACATCGAAAACAGAACAAGCGAACTCTCGATCTTTCTTGTTCCGAAGCATTGGCTCAATATCGCCATAACAACAAAGCTTTGACAACAAAAAAAGGTACAAGCTTTTACAAGACATTAAAAAGGGTACCACATTATGATTTTCTCAGACAACAAACAGGACACCACGAGCAAATGCAGTTAAAACTAGAACCTGGGTAGACGAAAGTGAAGCGTGTCGATCAACAGCAACCGCCAATTTCCAATCTTTCAACATATTTTCTCTGGTCATCAACGCATTTCTTGGGACTTTCAGAACCAATTCCCCTCTCCTGAGCTCGCGACCAGCGCCCAAACCTCTCCTAGAAGCATTGTTTCAAAAATCAATATGACCTAAAGAGCAAAGGAAGAAGAAATTATGGACACTCTCCGACGTTCAACGTACCCGCCGGCGAGAGGGAAGTGAGCGACGGAGAGGGAATGGCCGAGACATGAATTAGGGCACCGAGAGGGATCGGGAGAATCTGATATTCCCAGATTTGATGCCCATTGCAGGAAAATTTCCAAGCTTTGATGCTCCGAATCCATTGTCCGGCCTTCTTACCAGAGTTTGGTCTCGAAACTGATCGAGGTCTGAAGTTCAAAACAAAAAAAAAACCCTGAATCTCAGCTAGGGTTTTGTGTATTGTCTCGCTCGCTCCTTTTGTATTCGGTTAAAGCTCTCACACTCGGTTTGGTTTACCAAAAACCAAAACTAAACCGGGTCCTTTCATGTACGGAGGATCTCCCTGGACAATCGATTTTGTTTCTTCCCTCGTGATCAGGAGGAGACAGCTGATTTGAACAAGTTACGCTAAGAATCATGTTAGTGAGCAAAATTGATCGAAACATTTGTTTAAAATAGTTTATTAATCGCAATCGGTTCGTGCGCGTGTCTTGGTCGTGACTGACGTAGGCTTTTTCCCTGACCGTGGAATACACAAAATCACGCTCGAGACACATGAGAAAGCCCCCACGTCATGCTCATGCATGAACCCCGCGTGGCCTGCATGCGTGTACGGGCAATAGAATAAGCAAAATCAACAACGAATATATCCGTGGTTAGTCTTGTTAATTTGGTTTTATGGAGATACATATGATTTTTCTATTCATATTACATGAATTAATTTAAATAATTTTAATTAATGGTTATATTACAGTTTTTTTAAATCGTTGCATAATCTATATGTATCCGACGATTTATTTTATTTATCTTTTTTAATTAAAAAATTTAACGGATTTTCGATCCAACTAATAAAATTATATCATTTTCTCCATATATGAAGCCGATCATAGATTTTTGAGACTTACAACCACTAAACTAAAGATTTATCATCTTAAAAATCTTATATTATTTTAGAAGTTAGGGTTGAGTGTTTGGAAAACGCAATTTGGAGCAACATTGGGACAGGAAATTATATATATATATATATATATATAAACAAATAGTGTTTGTATTTTGAAAAATCCGACATCAAACATCGTTATCACCATTGTCATTGCAGACGCTTTTATACCACAAACTAAGTTATTTTGTATAGCAAATAACATTATACCAACAAAAAAAGAATTTTGTATAGATTTGTTCCATCACAGAACCTGCTCGAAACACATTACCACGTCATTTGGCTGATGTGTCCAACGAACTGCACTTTTTTTTTCCAATTAAAATGATTTCAGAATATTCTTAGTTATTGGAATGTGCAGCTGTGGGCAAGGCTACGTGTCAGCACCTCTAGCCATGCATGCAGTGACGCCGGTCCATTCAATAATTTCTTTTATTCACCACATGGGCTTATCGTATAAAAACATATTCTTCAATCTCAACTGAATTTTATGGGCCATGACAGATACGGTACTATTTTTTATATATATAATCCAACATTTTAATTCAAAAACTTGTAGCAATTAGTGTGGCCATGAATGCCAAATTTAATTAAAATACTACTTTATATATACACACACACATGGTAAAGGGTAAAGAGTTGATATGCAAATAAAAATATTGGCCTTCATGTCCAAAGATTAGAACAACTTAAAATATTATAACCAAAAATTTGATAAATTGGACTCATCAGCCGCACACAGACCACATAACCACGAACCACGACAAGAGTACCTGAATTACAAAACGTTGTTTTATAAAATGAAACACATATATTCATATATATATATATATAACTATGGATGTGTGTATTTCGAACTAAACAACACTGAAAATAAAAACAAATGGGAAATAAAAGGTCAGAAAAAGGAAAAGCGAAACCTTCTAGACGAGACGGAAGTTCTACATGTGAAGATTTCGGGTCCACATAAAGGAAGCAATTTGCTTAGCTTTACATCCATCCCAAGGTATCATTTCCGCCACCAGTGAAATCTAGCGTTATCACTTTGTACCATTCATATGACGCCACGTGTGAAAGCTTCCTCCCCCCGCGGCTATGCCAGGTGCTCTGTACCTGATAAGCCTATCTCTCTCCTATTGGCCCTGGATCCCACGTGGCATCACCATAGCCTCTTTCCCCAATGGAGCCTTCTTTCCGTCTGTATGTTTTTCGCCAGTGGTCACTGGTGTGCTTTCGATGGCTTACGATATGGAGCTGCATTCGTGGGGTAAGTCCAATATAAGCATGCGTATGTATGTATGCATTTAACGTAATTTCTTGATGGATTTGGTTACATTCTTTCTTCCAGGTTTGACGAGTTTGTTCTTATCCGACAAGCCATCCTTCTGACCATCGAAACATTCGGGTTCTCAATCATCCTCTCCGTGTTTGGACTCCCTCTACTCATGCCACTCCATTCCCCAACCAAGCGACTTTTTCGAGTTAAGTATCGCCCTCTATTTGACCCCACGAATAACCATTTTCCCTATCTCTTACCATTTTCTTGACCTTTTTCCAAATTGGGTATGGGCCCACCCGGGCCCACGCGTCACGTTACATTATTATTTATTTATTTATTTACGCAGTTTCATCCTTGTGTTTTGGATTGGTTTGAGGATTAGTAGCTAAAATCATTGCTAAGTTCGAAAAATGTTTCTCATTAAATAATATCCCGCACCAAAATTTAAAATCGATATTTTATGATCATTATATATCGACTGTTTCTTTGTTTTACTAGCTAAAATCATTGCTAAGTTTGGAAAAATGTTTCTCATTAAACAATCCCCCGCATCAATATATAAAATTGACAATTTTATAATAATTCTATATTGGCCGTCTTCTTTGAATTATATTATACACAGATCATATCTCACCTCTTACAAAAGTTTTTTTAAAAATAATATTAGATAATCGATGTGATCTTTAATAAGCACAAATTTATATTTTGGATGATTTCCCCATTATAAGGATTTTTATTTCTTTAGTGATTGAATTGTTTGCATGATTTTGTTCGAATGGTGATTTGATTCAAAACATGTAATTTTTTTTATTCGGACATTAATATTTTTGCAAGACCAAACAGAGAAAAAAACAAGTGGATATACGACGACACTAGAACCAGACACTGACTACACTTTTACTCGGTACTTCACAATAATAAATTACAGGGAAAAAAAGAAGAAGAAGAAGAAAAAACTTCCGACTTTTGTATTTATTCCGGTCTTCCATTAACGCAAAGAAAAGAAAAACCTCTCTGGAGCGATGGGGAGAATTTGAATGGGTGAGGTTTTACGACAGAGAGGAAGAAACTTCTTCATGTATACATATATATGTATATGTATCTGTGCGCATGTAACTATTTATATACAGCCGTGGGTTTTGCAATTGCTTCTGAATTTTTTGTTCTTCTCTCCACATTGATGGAATCAAACTTCTCTCTCGTCTACATAGAATTAATTGCTCGGGTATTTCCTTTATATTGTGAGTTGTTCATACAGCTAACTGAATGAAATAGAGAGAGATAGAAAGGTGGGGTTCTGCGTTTTATCACTCATTCGGATCGTTTTGTTCCCATGTTTCTTTCATGTTTAGCAATTTTTTTGGTCCTTCATTTGATTTTTTTTTTTTTGCAACAAAGATGTTGGATCACTTGTGTGATTTCTGCCCAATTCTTTATGAATCCAAGCGAATAATGGGGAGCCCGGTTGGGCAATGGCGAAAGGGCTCTTCTCACTTTCTCTCTCTCTCAAGATCTTGTTCTGTTTTCTATTGCTGTTAATTGATTTTGTCCTTGAAAAATCGAAGCTTTAGTGGGTTTCGTGTGATATACATCCGGGATGAAGATCTCAATTTGCTCTAACAATCTCGTTCGGGGTTTGTTTTGTTCCAATTTCAGGAAGCTTGTGCCGGTTGATTTGTTCTGCTGGGTAACATATTGTCCGTTTGATCAAACCTAGCCGATTGGGTTGCATCAAAGAGATCGAAAAATCAGATTTTGTCCGCCTCTGGAATCTGAGATTCCAGGAAAACAAAGGAAAATCTTTTTAAAAAAAAGTTCGAATCTTTCCGGTTCTGGAATTCAGCATGTCTGTGGCGGTATTATGGGTCGCTTCCCCAAATTCAGAGCTATTGGGGAGCTGTGGCTTCTTTAGGGTTACGGAATCCTGCAGATTCTTCTCTCGTGGGCATAGCCTGTTGCTTAAACAGAAAGTAAGTAGGAGCAGCAAGCAGAGATGGAGATTTGAGGGAAGTAGAAATGGTGGTGTGATTTCAAGCATGGTGGCGAGTCCAGCGGGAGAGATGGCTCTAACGTCGGAGGAGAAGGTTTACAATGTGGTGATGAAACAAGCGGCTTTGGTTAACAGGCGGCTGCTGAGATCTGGTGCTGATCTTGATGTGAAGCCGGATATCGTCCTTCCCGGCACGTTGAGCTTGTTGAGCGAGGCATATGACCGCTGCGGAGAAGTTTGTGCGGAATATGCCAAAACCTTTTACCTCGGTTAGGGTTTTCCTCTCCATGTCCTGACCTCCTAAAACTGGTTTTGGATTGATGTTTCTTGGTGTTCTGAGATTCTGTCCTTTGGTGTTTCCAGGAACTATGCTTATGACACCCGAAAGGCGAAAGGCTATCTGGGCTATATACGGTGAGTTTCTTCGAAAGCTCTTGCCCAAAAAAGAACGGTTGAGAATGTCGGATCATTGATTTGGATGAATTGTGGGAGGTTTCTTGCTAACCACTTGAATTCAAGAACGGCATTCTCGGCACTGTCCGAGTTGATAGTTCATTGGGTTATATATATACGTATGCAGTTTGGTGTAGAAGAACGGACGAACTTGTGGATGGGCCTAATGCTTCGCATATTACACCGACGGCTTTAGACAGATGGGAAGCGAGGCTGGAAGACCTTTTCAGAGGCCGCCCTTTCGATATGCTCGATGCTGCACTCTCTGATACAGTTTCCAGATACCCCGTCGATATCCAGGTTGGTCTCGTTTTCGATGCGTTTATTCCCGAGTTTTCATTCAAATCCTCGTGTTTAAAAATGTGTTTCTACAGCCATTTAGAGACATGATAGAAGGAATGCGCATGGACCTGAGGAAGTCGAGGTACCAGAACTTTGACGAGCTCTACATGTACTGCTATTACGTGGCCGGGACAGTGGGGTTGATGAGCGTTCCCGTGATGGGCATCGACCCGAAATCGAAAGCAACGACGGAGAGCGTCTATAATGCGGCCTTGGCCCTCGGTATAGCCAATCAGCTCACCAACATTCTCAGAGACGTCGGGGAAGAGTGAGTCGCGTTTTCGGAAAACACCCCCTCCTAAGATTCAGTTTCTTGTCTCTCATCCTGGTTTGATCTCTCTGGTTGGCTCAGCGCAAGAAGAGGAAGGGTGTACCTGCCGCAGGACGAGCTGGCTCAGGCGGGTCTTTCGGACGAAGATATTTTCGCCGGGAAAGTTACAGAGAAATGGAGGAACTTCATGAAAATGCAGATCAAACGGGCAAGAATGTTCTTCGACGAAGCCGAGAAAGGCGTCACCGAGCTCAGCGCCGCCAGCCGGTGGCCGGTAATGCCCCTCAAAACTTTTCAACTGTCGGTTTATTACGTTATACACAACAGAAGAACACGAAATGTCTAAACCGGAAACCGGTTTGGGGAAATTTGCAGGTATTGGCGTCGTTGCTGCTGTACCGGAGGATACTGGACGAGATCGAAGCCAACGATTACAACAATTTCACGAAGAGAGCTTACGTCAGCAAAGGCAAGAAGCTCGCGGCTCTTCCTGCCGCTTACGCTAAATCGCTCCTCAGTTCTTCAATCTTGTCTTCTTACTCCACTTGAATATATCATACAATTGGTAGGTTCAATCTTATACTGTTTATTATATAACTAATATACGTAATATGGCGGGGGAGTATAATCCACAAATGTATTATCTTTATATTAATATTATATTTTAATTTTTGACCGTTTACATCTTTGTATTAATTAATTATAATTTTTTTCCCAACATCTGTTAATTTATACGATTTTATTTCCTTGATAATCCAATTTCTGCATTTGCCCAAATCATTCAAATACGAAACACAACCAAAAGATTTCAGATTTAATAAAAACAGTTACTAAAAGAAGAAGAAAGATCGAGAAATAAGGTTATTCGAAGTAGCAATTATTAATATTATGATTAGTGTATAGAACTAGTAATCAGCCATCTCCATGAGCTTAATCCAAGCCGGTCGAGCCGAAATCTCTTCCCACCACCGGTTAACGTTAAGCCGATCCTTAACCAACCGGCTGAGACCGGTCTCGTCCATCAAGTACCTCATGGGAGGCATGTGGGTCAAATCGGCCATGGTGAATTCGTCGCCGGCCAAGTACCGGTTCGGGCCGAGCCGGGTCTCGTAGACGTCAAGAACCTTCTCGAGCTTGGACCTGAGATCTGCGACCAAAACGTCGTCGCATGGATAACCGAACTTGGGCTTGACGACGAGGTTGATAACGATGGGCTGAACAAGTGGATTGAAGTATTGGGCCTCAACCTCGGCCCATTGGTCCACTATGGCTCGTTGTTCAAGGCTTTTTCCCAGCAGGGCCGTGCCCTGGTCCGAGTACTTGGCCGCGTAGTACCTCGCTATGGCTCGAGATTCTTGGAAAAAAAATTTTCCATGAGATTTTTTTTTTTTCTGATACAGAAAAAAAAAAACAGATTTCATAGTAAACACGAGAACAAACATAGGAGGAATCTTACCGAAGAGCTTAAAGTCTCCATCTTCTACAGCCGGAACTTGTCCAAACGGCTACACAATAAGCATATACATATATATATATAAGTGTGTGTGTATATGTATATAACGCATGCAATTTAGGCGCTTAGTAGTAACCTGACGAAGGAGGAAGTCGGGATTCTTTTGCTCGAAGGAGTCGAGGTTGATATGAGCGACTTCGAACTCGATGCCTTTTTCAAGAAAGCAAAGCAGTACTCTCTGTGGGCAAGCCGCTGTTATCTGTCCGTACACTTTCACCGCCATTGTTGCGTTTCACCCTTGTTTTTATATTTCTATAGAAAATAATAATAAAATTATTGGAATGAGAGTGAGCACGTTGTATGTATCTCTGTGTGTGTGTATATATAGGACCCAATGAGAGACAGCAGGGAGCCGGTGGTTGGAGCAAGTGGTGGTTGGACTTGGAGATATAGGTTCTTAATAATAACAAGGTAAATGTAATTAATGAATATGGAATAATTAATGCCTAGTAATCTCGTAGGTAACATTACATTCAAGCTCCCAACCTAACAGTCGTGTGAGTTGGTAACATATAGTTAATGTTATGATTTAGAATATAAGTATGTTTAATGTTAAGATTTAGCATAGTTAAAAATATCTCTGTCTTCCTCTATTTTTCTTCGGTTTGATGTCTCTTCATGTCTCAAATTACAAAAACCATAAGATAATTTAATATAGATATATATATATATATATATATATATATAATCCAAGATGTTACATATGTAGGGTTATATATCTAAAATGTTTGGCTTGATTCCATATAATGCGTTCTGGTGAATTATTGTCCACATATAACAACTAAATACGGATGACTTGGAAAATAATGAAATCTTATTCAGTGACACATGGCTCACAGACAATCAATCTCGAAATAATTAATAAGCGGCCATCTCCATGAGCTTCTTCCAAGCCGGTCTAGCCGTAACCGTTTCCCACCACCGGTTAACGTTAACCCGAGCCTTGATCATGTGGCTCAAACCGGTCTCGCCCATCAAGTACCTCATGGCCGGCATGTGGGTCAAATCCGCCGTTGAGAATTCATCGCCGGCGAAGTAGCGGTTCGAGCCGAGCCGGGCATCGTAGATGTCAAGAACCTCCTCGAGCTTGGACTTGAGTTCTTCGACCAAAACGTCGTCGCATTTCTCGCCGAACTTGGGCTTGACGACGATGTTGATGACAATGGGCAGAACCAGTGGGTGGAAGTAGTGAGCCTCCACTTCGGACCACTGATCCACGACCGCTCGCTGTTCCAATGTTTTTCCCAACAGGTCCGTGCCCTGGTCCGCGTACTTGGTCGCGTAGTATCTCGCGATGGCACGGGATTCTGAAACATATGGTTATTTTAGCCTCTGATGTGTATATAATTAACAGTATTTAGGAGATTTCTTTCCTTACCAAAGAGCTTCAAGTCTCCATCTTCTATGGCTGGAACTTGTCCGAACGGCTACAAAAAATGGAAACAGCCAACCGGATTACATTCAATATCCATTGTTGTATATAAACACTTAGAAAAGAGTTTATATATGAGTTACCTGTCGGAGGAGGAAATCGGGTTTCTTTTGCTCGAATGTATCGAGATCGACATGAATGACCTCGAATTCAATACCCTTTTCAAGAAAGCAAAGCAAGACTCTTTGTGGGCTTGCCGCTTTTATCTGCGCGTGCACTTTCACCGCCATTTTTTGCTCTATAGTTTATGCTTCTTCTTCTTCTTTTTTTAAATGAAGTAAACAAAATTAACAGGAAGAGAATGTTATAATATATGATCGTTTTTACGTGTATGTGGATGGAGAAGTACTAAAGGGTGGGAGTAGTTGCGTGTGAGCATTTATAGACGGCCCAATTATAGATATACGAACCAAGAGTACCAGGGCAAGTAGAGAAATAGAAGTAGTGGGGGTTGGAGCAAGTTGGGGGTTGTGTTTGGTTTTGGTCTTGTCGCATGTGATGGTCGTTTTGCTCGTTAATTAATGCAACCGTGGAGATTGATGAAGAAATGTCCTAATCCTAATCCTAGATTTGGGGTTTAAACAACTAAAATTGTGCATGCACTTCTGTGATTCGTATAGGTAATTAATTTTAGATTGGATGGGTTCATTTCAATCCACGTTTCTTATATATATAACCTATATATGTTGTGTATATAGCCATGTTTTTGTAAAGCACATGTGGAGGAGAAAGTTGGTTCGGATAAGTCGGCACGTGTTGGCTGTGCCAGACTGGTGGGTAGGTATAGACATATCACGTGCTATGTGCGTGGAATGATGGGTCTTTTCTTCTTTTCGTTCTTTTCTTTTATTTATTTATTTATATACTTTTTTTTCGTAATAATTTAACAGGTTTTTTTAAATTTCACTCGTAAACTTTGATTCCAAGCGAGCCAGTAAAAGGTTCAGACATCGTGGTATTATACATGTATAAGTTAGAACCCCCAGTTCTTCTGTTTCTCTAGTCTATTGTCTAAAGACGGTCAAATCATTCCAAATTTCATCGTAATCATATATGACCAAAACAAAATAAATAAATAAAAACCTGACCACCCCATTTGAAGAATGGCTCGGCTTGTGGTTGATGCTGATGGGCTCGAGAATTGAACTGCTAATAAATGGATCAAAAACCCAAATCCAAACAAGCACTCGCATCAAAATGGTCAACCTTTTCCCAATTCTCTCTGTACTCATTTGGACAATTTACAGTGTGTTATATACAATGTATATATATGTACATGTGAAACAAGCCATCAGAATTCAGACAGAGAGATTTAGTTAAACGGGAACCCGCCTCCCTCTGAAGCGATCCAGCATCTGGGGGGATTGACGACAAACAAATGTCAGTGAACTTGGGGGGAAGCCAAGTGTTGTGGAAACAAAAACAAGTTTAAAAATCAAAACATGAATCTACCGCTCTGATGTATGGTTGCTGCAAAAGCCAGCCCAGGAGAGGTATCCTCTGCAGGAAAACAGCGAGCGTCGGCCAGAAACCGCTGCAAAACCAAAGAGCGGAGAATTTATCTCATTCGTGTTATCGTGTACGAGCTTGCCGGGGAGAATCAACAAGAGTTCATGTAATTCTAGAGTTTTGAGTTTTGATCAAACACGTTGAAGTTAATAGAACTAGGAGTTCTGCTAATCTAAAATGGCATTGATGATATCACAATTGGAACCCACCTGAAAAGCACGATGAACCCGTAAGTCTCTAGGAGCATGCCGGTGACAGGCCATCCTATCAACACTAGTAAGAAACCCAACCCGAAAGATATCGTTCCCTACGCAACACACGGACGAAAGAATCATGGTAATCCAGTCAGTGTTGTAAAGAGTTGATATCGAGAGAGATTGAGAACCTTAAAGTTTCGGCGTTTTGTAAAGAGTTGCATCGCTGACTTGACACCGATGGTTAGAGTCACCCCAGCGAAGAAGAGTATCTGTGTTCGGATCAATGACAGATACGGTTTGGTCATATATACGCAAATATACCTTAACAGCTGATCGATTATAAGGCAAATAACAGCACAAAGACAGTATACCTACATTCCCCATGGCAATAAACCCTTTGTCGAAGAAGAATATAACTCCCAGGAACGAGAAGAACACACCAAATCCAGTCAACCCTAGTCCAATCTCTGCACAGATCACAATTCGCCAAAAAAAACACCCTCCATGAGACAGAAATGGATTTCAGATAGTCAACGCAAGTCATGATCCTCAAAAAACTGCCTTTGATTAGCCGCACCAACATCATACAGATTCAGAAGAATTTTAATCCGATTCTCAACCTAACATGGTTTCAATTTCTCCGGACAAGGGCAGCTCTTTGCGATCTCGACAGCCACACTGGATATTCATGATCAGAAACAAAACATGCGATGACGAGCGGAACCCGACAAATCCCTCAGAAAGAGAATGCCTTTCTACGAAAAAATCCCTTGCCAGAAGACAAGTAACTCATTCGGAACCAGTATGTGTATATATATATATATGTGTATATATATGCGACGTCATATATGAATTTCGCAGAAGCAGGCATGGATCAGACCCTGCGAAAAGCGACGCACACAAAACGAAAGGGAACTTCTGCACTTACTTTTCAGGTCATTCATCTCGAAAGAAGCCATTTGCACCGATGAATCAGATACTCCAGCACCTTTTACACGGAAAGATCACACAAACGAAAACGATTTCTCCCACCGCAAGAAAGCAATCGAAAAGTCAAAATTCGAAAGATTCGCCTTTACCTGAGCAACCGATTCCACCAGTACGAATCTTCTTCGAGGCTAAAACTGGTGAAATCGATGAACTTGGCAACAGAGTTTGCTTTGCTATGTGAATTGAAAGAGGGAAACTTTCCGATTACAGGGCCTGTTTGGCAAGCAAGAAAGTATACATTTTTTTTTCCTGGGAAGAGAAACCAGAACGGCTGGCCAATCCCACAACAAAGGGGTCGGTTGCCACGCCATCTGTCGGCTCGTTGGCCTCCACGTCACTCATCTAGGATAAATATAAATATAACCCCTTATTATTGTATCTTTTACGAATGTAACCCCATAAGTTTTATTATGTCGTTGTTGATGGAATATTTCTTCTTCTTTGATTCTGACATTTTTTTTAATTCAATATTCTGCAACTCTGAAAACATTGTTTTTAACGATACTCATATCAAACTTTTATTATATGGACGATTATATTTTCATCTCCCAAAACATGGTTACAAAGTTTTATAATGGGTTTGGTTAATAATGTTGCAGAATGAAGAATAGTGAAATTGGATTATCTGAGTATATGTTAATTATACAATATGCTTAGATTATATTTTAAAAAAGAGTATCCCTCAAAACTAGAACAGTTACTTCCACGAAGATTTTTATAATCATGGACCCTACGGCCTACCATCACTAAAGAAAAGCTCGAAATATCGAACCAAACAAATTCGGTTCGGTTCCGGTTTAGTACCCGGTTCAGGTTTGCGTCAACAAAGCCGATAAAGGAGCCGCAGAGAGCGTCTGGGCCCTAAGCGGAGGACGGTGGCCGGGCAGCCGAGGCGGCCGATCGTTCCCGGTGGACATTCCGTCGCGACCACCACGATTTCGCTCTGCGTCTCCGCCGCACGATGCGCCGGGGATTCGCCTCTCTCGCCGCTGCTTCAGTTTCGCGTTGAATGGGTTCTCTGGCTTCGCTAGGTCCTCGAGGGTTTTCGCATCAGACAGCGACGTGAACGACTGTGATTTTCCTTTGTAATGCTTCGACAATCCTTTTCTGCCATGGATATCCCCAAAAACAGAGCTTTGATTTCAGTAATTTTTTTTCTTTTATCAGCCCCTATAAAATAGAATCTTTCCGTTTCTACCTCTGAATTTAAAAAGTGATTTGTTCTTCCCTGACGAGATCTAGAAATCCGAGGGGTGAAACGAATTTTTTTTACCTCGAAGACGGAGAAGAATCGTCATCCATGCCGAAAAGGTCCGAATCTTCAGGCGATTTCGGAGAAGAGAATGAGATCGCAGCTTCATCTGATTCCGCGTCTGCGTCCTGAACGCAGCTTCTGCTTCTGCGTCTGCGTTCCTCTCCCAAGTAAAGAGACTCCATCTGTTCTTGATAATACATCTCTGCTCTGCGTCACACCAGATCTCTGCCTACCTCCGTTAGAGAATGAGAATTGTTCTTTACACAAACCATTTATATAAGTGCGTACATACATACACGCACATATACATATACACATATCTTCACTGTTTTTACCATTCGTAAAAAAGGCGCACACATTTCTAGTCGGCCCATATGGCAAAATTCCCGGAATCCATTTGAAATTATTATTCCTACATATATTTCATTTTTTAAACATTTAAAATTTCACCATTTAATTATTAATGCGAAGCTTTCAGTACGTTTAATTTCGACACCAACTTGTAGTAGATGGCTACCATATTGTTTAAAAAATATTATCTGTTTCTCATCATCATCATTCAATGCCATGTTACGGCCACATGAAAAGAACGATGAAATAATATAAAAGAATAGTTAGCATTATATTTTGAGATCGAGAGAGAAGACGACACGTGGCATGAGAATCGGACGACGGAGGAGGGGTACGTGGAGAGAAGCACGAAACCCAAAGGCGTGAGAATCACTGTGCATGGATACGTGTCCTTTCATCACCACCCCTTCTTTCTCCATGATTGTTTCCCTCATTTGACTAATCATGTGTTTTAATTCACATAAGAAATGCCGAAAAACCCTTTCTCTCTCTCTCTCTCTCTCTTTTTTTTTTTAAAAATTTATCGGCTACGAAAAATCAGATGGAATAAATTAATATAAAATTATATCTAAATCAGATATTTTTTATAAAATAATTTAATATAATGTTTGAATCAATTTAAATAAACCTAATGGAATAATATTCTAAAAATAAAAGTAGTGGCGTATTAGTCGGGTAAATGCTTTAAGATTATATAAAATAAGATTCTAATGGATAACAAAAATCCGGATTGTTGGAGCGATGGGGGCCAGAGAGAGGCAATTTGAATTTAGACAGAAATCCCAAAATGTTGGAGAATAATTTTATTTTTCCCAACAGGCAATTAAAACAGTGGACTCTTATCTAATTTTATTTGTCGACATGCTGCGCGTCCTCTTTTTTTTTTTTTTTTTTTCTTCTAAATTATATATGGTAATACAAACTTTTATCATCAAGACAAGACCCCCATCACGAGCCTACGTTGTCTCTGTCTTAACAACAATAAATTAAACCAAAAAAAAAACTCTCTACTCTACCCTAAGTAAGAACACTATTTACTGTTCGCTACTACAATGAAATTTATTTCCACGTCGACTTTATATATATGTATATATGTATATCTGTATAAGCAAGACAGAATCTTTGACCAGATGGAACCATTGAACACCCATTCCAATGTTCACAAACTACATACTTACACACACTCTGTTGCAACTACGGAACACAACACAGCATTACAATCATATCCCAACGGTCATTAACAGAAATCGTATCTTTCTCTAACATTATCCTCCTACTTTTAAAATTTGCCAATCTGTCAAGTGAACTGTCTTCTCATGTAGGTATCTTCGTGAACGAAGACAGGGTCCCCCGCTCTCTGCACAGGAGGTTGCCCCATTGCTATGCCAGCAGTTTGTGCGGTGGCTGCAGCCGGGGAGGAGGCGTTGTGCTTAGCAGAGTTCAGGGTCAGATAGTACACGATCCCGAGGCCGAGACTGACGAGCGAGAGCACAGACCCGCCAGCGAAAACCCCCGGTTTCACAATGTAGCAGTAGGAGTTACCTGCACTAATCCTTTCCTGGCTCGTTTCATCGTTCAGGGCAGCTCCCGTCAGCAGAAGGAGAAACGCTATTACAAAAGTGAACCTACACCAAACGTAGACCAAATCTTACACATAAGTAAGTATATATCAAGAACGTGATAAATTCATCAGCAAAGTTCTATAGCCTTTGTTTTCTGGTCTAAGATGTATAATTAAGATTCTAGGAAGAAGGTCGGGAATATCATGTGATTCATGATCGGTAAAGCTCCAATGTACACTAAGACATAAAGCTAAAATGTCTTGAAACAGAATGACAAAAGTTTCAATGCTGAATCCGGACCATTATTAGCTGAAACTACAACTGATTTGCCACTGTCAAATAAGTTCCCTTCCTTAGAACGCGGCTTGGATATCGATAACTGTATGCAAGTACAAAGCATATCATATTATAATTTTGAACACTTTGCCCTGAGAAAATTACATGAAACTCTTGGCATAAAAAATCCTTTTTTCCCATATGGTCTAAGCTGAAAAGGATGACTGCAGAGGCCAAAGCAACTTTTAGCTCAAAGCTATGGAACTTAAGGTCCCAGTCCAAGACTGTGACGATAATATACAAAACCAAGGGTTTAGGAGTTAAGTGACACATTCAGGACTAGAATAGACATATATAAAAACCAAAGATAACAATAAAAAAACTACTGAACAAGCAGGAAAGAAGAGAGTTACCAGGAAACGACAAAGCAGACCAAGGCAATAATCCAGTTAGACTGGGATGGAGCAGGTCCCTTTCTACAACAGATGCACCCACCAGCAACATTGATGATTATTTGGGCTATCATTAGAATCACAGCTGAAGTGAAGCCAAGATTGAAAGCTGGACTTCTTGGGTAAGAGCATCCTGAGGCAGAATCTGTCGAGTTATACTTGACCTGGGAACTCTGTACCAACAAGTAAAACAAAAAACAACGAAAAGTTGAACCCTCTAGCACAGACAGAATCACCTTGAACTGGCCACAGAACTAACTAACTCCTCTTCGGTAGGAATAGATTTCAGAAATAACCATTACAAGACATCACTTAGTGTTTCAGTTTCTTATCCACTCGACCAAGAGGGGACGGTAATACAGGAACGTAACAATAGAGTCCAACAAACCTTGATCGAAAAGACAAAACCCACAAAACCGAATGCAATGAAAAACGGGTACTTTAGATGTTCCTTCATCCCCATACCTGAGTATTATCATCCTTTAAAAAAAAAATTCCCATTTATGCATAAAGTTCAACTTAGCATCAGTAGAATTTCTATTCCATTTACGGAATCACATTATACTTCATTCAACCCTCTTAATGTATTGATCACACGAAATGCATACAAATGGAGACTTATGTCAAATAGGCATTTGTAACTACAAGCCCAACATATGAAATTGGAAGACCTTCCTTGGAAAAAGTTAACAGTGTTTTGGATAGAGAGCTTCACCAAATATCCTGCTTCCTCACTGAACTCTCAAATCAATTCGACAATCTTCCGAATCCGAAATCAGGAAGCATAGCAAAAGCAGCATCGTTTTTAGCCCATTCCCTTTTCATTCACAAGTAAAAATCCCAAAGCAATGAGCTTTATACTGTGAATGTCTTCACGAGTGAAGTTATCAGTACGAACTCAGTCGAACTCAGAAACTCAAATTTAAAGCCCAAAACCCAAAGCTAAAAAGAGGCGAAACAAAGTTGCCAAACAGAGAACTGGGCAACCTTCAAAATTCGAAATTACACAGCATAAACATCAAATCATTCAACACCCAATTATGAGAAACAGGAAAAACACCAAACCCTAAGTTCTATTAGAAGCAGACCTTGATCCTGGTTGCTTCGGCACCAAAACCAGCAGCAGCTGATAATGCACCCAAGAGAGCTACAACAACGCAAATCACCAGTTTTTTCCTCTCCATCTCTCTCCGAAACTCCGATCGTTTTCTGGCTTTGCGTCAAAGATGCTTTATCTTTCTGTGTGCTTCGTGTTCTATCTCTCTGTCTATGTCGCTCTCACTCTTTAGGTTTTGCTTCCTTTTTTTTTCCTTCTTAGTTCATAAGAAAACGTAAAGGTGGTACCTTGGTGAGAAGCGTGGAGTCCTGTTTTTTGTTTTTTATTATTTTTTTTTGTCCTGGATCATGATTCATGAATATACGGATAGGGGTATTTTGGTAATAACACCTTAACACTACCTCTGTTTCTAGTGTGTACCGTAGACGAAGGTAGGTAGATGCATATAATATAAGGTTTTCGCATATTCTTTCATCGCTAGTTTTTTAATTAAATAAAATCAATAAATAGAAAAGGAACAACACTCGAAAAAGCAAAATATGGTTTCTGTACGGAATAAGTGAATAAGGTTTCTGAATCAGATGTATATAACCATCACCTTCTGGCGTATACACACATACATAGTGCACGTACTATGTACGTATGTGATTGCGGGGGGAGAGTATACGTATTCATGTTCGAGCATGTCTCACCTTGTTGCGAGACTTCCAACGTGGAGACGACGGCAGCAAATCAAGGAGACAAGATCTATTAGGCTTGTGACCTGCCAATCAATCAATGCTCTCACGGCATCTCTCCTCTTCTGTCCTCCAGCCCCTCGGCCTTGTCTGAGAACTAAGATTTTCGAGCCATCAAGATGACGACCTTTTACCTCTTTATGTTACGAGTGAAGTTACTCCACAGTCTGTCTCTGGCAGTGAACTTTAACTCCAAGAAGCCGCTGGCTGAAACAGAGACTAAGATGATGGCATTCCAACCTCTACAAGAAACTAGAAATCTAGATTCATGGATCAAATCTCGATCCTCGAATGACTACGACACGAGAAGAATGGGAATTTGGAGATGTTTAAAAGAGGTAGGAGAGGCAAACTGAATGAAGGTACATGGAGAAGCAAGCAACAACAGAGACAGGACACAAAAAAGAGACCATCTTTTCTTTATTTTCCCACATTACCCCATCAAAACCACTTTGTGGGGATGAAGAAAACCAAGGGCTGCGCCGCCACAGAAGTCACCGGAACATTCGACAACTGAAAGCCCTAGCAAGAGCTTAAATGACCAGCGAGTAGAACACTGGATGATGGTGCCACTTCCACATCCAAAATTCAAATGTGTTCTATCTATCCTTGTATACATAATACATATCAGAAAAAGGGGCTTCTGCTTTAATCAGAATTCAGATGCAACATAGGCATCAAAATTGCTTGTCTGATCAATACTGCATTTGCATCTAACAGACAGTTTCCGTTGCTGTCTGAGACTGACATCACACACCATTGAAGAACCGGTTTCAGACACTATCAATCAAAGACTACCTCTCTATATCCTACACTCTATCTCAGGCTAGCAACCCATCGTTAAATGTCATCACTTTAACAAACGGCAAGAGAGAATCAACAAAACACCAAATCCAGTAAAACATACGAGAAACAGATCAGAAACCAAGCACGGATTGCGAGAAGGCATAAGCAAAATGGGTCTATATATATCCTTCAATCTCCAGGACACAAAAGCAACATCAAAACCAGGTAAACACGAGACAAACTCGCCAGACACAGAGAAGTCATTCCCTCATCGAATCCGAAACAACATCGAAAATCATTGAAATGGGGCATTAAAGCAAACGGAACCTGCGAACCGCGATCTAATCCTTGTTCTTGAGCCTCTCGATCCGCTGGTTAAGCTGCTCGATCCTGACAACAAGATGCGTCACGGAATACAGGATCCAATAGAACAACAACGCGGCGGCGATCAAGAGCGCGTTTCGCTGAGACTTCATGATGGATTTCTGGTGGCGGAGATGCTCCGACGGAGTGCAGGACTCGCCGTCGCACGAAGGACGAGTCTCGTACTTCCAGTAGATGTCCATGAGGAGGAAGAGACAGAACGGGACCACGGACAGGAACGGCTTCAGCAGATTGCGCGTGACGGCGACCAAACCCCTGCGGAGGCCGTCAAGACCCGGCAAGGTCAACAGGACCACCATGATCGCCTCCGCCGCAGCTGCGTAGCCCAACACCACCCACTCGAGAGCCATCGTTCGCCGGAAACTCTGGATCTTAGATCTGCGATTTTTCCGATTTCGTTGGTCTTGGAATTCGAAAGAAGAATTGATTCTTTTTCTTTTCTTAGTGAGCAAGAGAGAAGAGATGAGTTAAGAGGGGGAGGGTCCTCTTGTGCGTGTATAACTAAAAGAAGGATGAAAGGACACGTGGCAGTGCTCTGTACGGACGTTTTAAAATGGGTCAGGCCTCAACTGGGCCCATTGGGCTTATATAATAGGCTTTTAGATCTTGTGATTCGAACCCGACACATCAGATGATATTTGCAAAAAAAACGGTGTTCAATATGGATTTCTGAGTTTGAAGATGTCTAAAAGAACACATGAAGATTTAAGTAAATGAAAAGAAAAATGTCATTGAAGACCATAAACAAGCAAAGCTCCAACTGCTCCAACACCGACCAAAAGTCCAACAATGACGCCAATGGGAGGCAGTCCTCCTCCTATGGCTTTCCCCGTGTTTACGTCGTACCGAGCAAACCTCTTCTTCGGTGCCCTGCACTGAGGGCATACGTACCCATCCGGCTGCATTTCCAAAAAGATCGGTTTAAACCCTCAAGATTCTCGGTTCTAACATCAGTCGACGAGTCTAAAAGATCGGTTAAAGTCCCTAATGATATTCGGTTCTAACATCGGATCACGGGTCCACAAGATCTGTTAAAGATATTCTGTTATAACATCGGATCACGGGTCTAAAAGATCAGTAAAACCCCTAAACGTATTCTCGGTTCTACGGTTCACAGGTCTAGAAAATCGGTTTATACCCTAAAGATATTCGGTTCTAACATCGGTTAACGGGTCTAAAAGATCAGTTGCCCTAATGATATTCGGTTCTAACATTGGTTCACCTGTGGGACCTGTAGTTTGCTAGCATTGGAACTAGGTGGAAATGTGAAAGTAGCTCCCTAGAACTACCATTCACCGGTTTTTTATGGCAAGAAATAGGATCTTTTTTGATCTAAGAATGGTCAAGGAATCAAGAATCAAACCTGCTCATCAAAGGGTTTCTGTAAGGTGTAAATGAATCCACAGTCAATGCATATGTGAGTAGCTCTTGCCTGCAGAAATGCTCAAAGGAGTCACAAACTTGCAGATGATATAATAGCAGTAAGACCGTGTCCCCTTCATCATGGATCGAAACGAAAATGGCAAATCAATGACTGATCAAATAAGGGGTTTGTGATACAATCATGTGAAGAGATGCTTGCCTTTTGAGTGTCGGTTAATTTCCTCCCGAAGCGTGGAGGAGCCGGACGCTTAGTCAATTTCTTCACGTCAACATCTGCACCCCTTTATCAGTATAAACCAGAAAACATTCCATCACGAACCGATATATCAAAACGAGGTCACATGATCACATCTACTGGTAAATGAAAGTTTTAGTAACAATATCTTGATCATGATATTCTTATATAACCCTTTCATGGAGATGGTTGTATTAGAATCAAGGATCACACCCCAATTGACCGTTTTGTTCTTGCAACAAGATCAAGAGCCCAACATCCTCACCTGCTGACAACAAAGTAGACAGACTCAGGCTTTGCCTGGATAGCGGTTTTAGTGAAACCAAGCTTGTCTGCGGGCCAAAGCTCGTCCCCAAAGAAACTACTCGTGTACAGAACTTGATCGCCGGTCTTAAGCCCTGCTTTTGCCGCATTCCCACCACCATCTACAGCCTAAAAAGACCACCGAGAAAACACCATTAGAGCCATGATTCGGCGCCTATTTACGAGTTTGCCTGCAGAGGAAGAAACATGAAGGGACTCACAGTGATGACAACCCCACCCCCTTGCTTCTGTCCTAAAGTCAGACCCAGAGGCTTGTCGACTTCGACCTCTATCGTCTTCGCTGCCGCAGTTCTCGCTTGGATTTCCAGCCTTCTCGACCCTTTTGATCCATTGATCTTGCTCTGAGAGACTGCGAATGTTTCAGAGACGCTCT